CAGGGGACGGGGCGCAGGGGTGGGAGCTCTGCAGACCTCGCGGATTTGTCTTCTGTGTACATAGCTAGGAATTTCTACTAATTAAAGAGATTCCGTGCATGCATGAAATTCATTGAAATGTCACTGGTTGAGGGCGTATTTCAAGATATAAAAATCGAGTTGACCAGACACTCAGGAAATGATGGTATACCTTGGGTTTGTCGTCTTGAGCAGTGGAGGGCAGCAGTGGCTAATGTCATTCTAGTGTCAGTTCTGTTTGGTGTTAAACATGTAATTTTTCGTTTCCAACAAATTTATGTTGTAAAAAGAGTAAAATCCGTTTGAATTGTCAGAAGGGACATTTGAGACAGGGCAGGGGAAAGGTACCCAGGGGAAGTCAGCCTGGAATTAAAATTTGCCAGAAGTGATTTATGTTGACAATTAAGATTGGTTTAACTTTAGCTGTAATATTATGCCGTTTATACTGTTTTTTTCTTCCACGAAAAGGAGCACTGTATTTTGTAACTAAATGCAAAGGAGATGAGCTTTTTTTTTTTCATTCATATTAGTAGTGCCCAATTTCCAAATGGGTTGTGTATCAATATTTGGAAATTGGAATGCCTAATTTCATGCTATTTAAGATAGAGGTTAGATTCTCCAAGGAGAATGAACTCAAAATATAATTCTGTGTAGTGAGTTGGGAATTGTGGTGCCGGGAGAGGGGGAGAGAGAGAGAAACATCAATGATGAGGGAGTCATTGATCCGCAGCCTTCTGTGTACTGTCTGGATAGACACGCCCCCCACTGGGGATCAGCCCGCAGCCGAGGCATGTGCCCTAACCAGGAATCGAACCGCCATCTCCTGGATCCTAGGTCACTGCTCAACCTCCGAGCCACCCCCAGCCAGGCGGGGATTCATTTCCCTTTTCTAGAAACCGTGGTAGTCCAGGGTCAAATATAGAAAAAGTGAATATGCTTTTGGACACCCTGATCAACTAAGACAAAATAGTTAACACCTACTCCCTGCAAAGCATTAAGTTAGGAAGTGCAAAGGATTCAAAGAAAAGCCAAAAAAGCTGCAAGATGGCTTTAAAGTATGGGTGACATTTTGGTCACGTTTTGAGGGGCTGGGAATATAGCCTGAACTTTTCGCCCAAGATGGGAAAAGTGAGTGTGGGTGGGGCAAGGGCAGGGGGATAAGTTGGTGGAACTTACCTGCTCTCTCTCACGTACATATTTTTCTCCTTTCTGGTACCTTGTGTTCACATGTCCCAAGACTCCTTTGTGGCACCTCACCCTTGCCTGCGCTGTACGACTCCTATTTCCTACGACACTCCCTAATTCTTTACCAAATTTTATTTTCCTCAGTCAAGATGATCCTACCTATCTATGGGGAGAAAAAGTCTTACTGAACAAATTTTGGCATTTGGTTTATGTTAACTGGGCACCTGATAAAGGGACAGCTGTTGTAAGAAGCTGGGAATACAGAACTGATGTCTCATGTGACCTACAGAGACATTGAAAGCGATCCAGATGGTGGAGTAGTGATTGATATGGGCACAGGTGTACTCTCTGGATAGACATATTTTGATGTGACCCAGTATTGTGCTGGGGCTGAGGTTTCAGTTGTGAGAGGCAGCCGGGGAGGTAGGTGGGCCAGAGCACACGTGGTCTTGTAATATTTATGGAAGTTTAGGAACCCATTGGAGTGCTTGAGCAAGGAGGTACACCCTGCTGATTTCTCTCTCTGATCTCACACAGGGCTCCAGGCCTATGGACTCCTTGCAGTGTGACAGGCACACACCTAACTCAGAGCCCTTGTACTTGCTGTTCCCTCACCCTGAATCTCTCTTCCTGCAGATGCCTGCGTGTGCCTTGCTCCCTCACCTCTCTGAGGTCCTGGATCAAATGTCATGTTCTGCCTTCTCAGGGAGGACTTGCCTGGCAAGCATATTTAAGAGACCCTCTTCCCCCAATAGATGGGATACCCCCAAACCCCAAACACACACCTTCTCCCTCTGCTTTACTTTTCTCTCTAGCACTATGTGTTTTATCTTTTTATCCTGCTTATTTTTTTCTTCTTTCCCTCCCACACGCTGGAATTAAAGGCCACAGAGCAGTGATTTTTGTTTTACTCGCTTAATGTGTCCCCAGTACATAGTTCAGTGCTTGGTATATGGTATGATTCAGTAATATATACTAAGTGAATGAATGAATGAATGGTGATATGATTAGATTTCTTTCCATGTGGAGAACTGGGTGGAGATGGTGGGGGTTAAGAAAGGATATAGAGAGAACTTTTAAGACGCTATTATTATAGTTGGGGGGAGGCAAGATGTTGTTTGCTTGGATTGAGGTAATTTTACTCACGTTGGAGAGATGTGGGTAGAAGATATTTCCAATCTTGTTTTGTTGTCAAGGAAACAGTATGTCTTTGAGTGTGTGTGGGAAGGGAGAGGCTCCTTCTAGATACAAGGATCTGTGTGTACTCTGAGATCCATTGTAGATCTAAGGGTGTGTGAAGGAGGCTGGAGCTGTTATAAATCTCCTTTGGGGGCTTATTTGGCCTCCCTGATGAGGGCAGAGAGAGGAGGCTGCTTAAAACTCAGATCAGCCCTCACTACTCCTTTTATAAAGCCTATGGGTGTACTTGCAGGAGAAGCTTCATATTCTGTGAATTAAATGAGTAAAGCACAGTAGTCCAATTGTATCTGTGGGGGATATGTTCCAAGACCCCCAGTGGATACCTGAAACCGTGGATAGTACTGAAAATATACTGTTTTTTCCTATTCATATATACCTGTGATAAATTTTAATTTATAAATTAGGCTCAGTAAGAGATTAGCAACAATAACTAATAATAGAATAGGACAGTTATAACAATATAGTTGACCTGTGCAGTTGAAAATTCGCATGTAACTTAAGTCTACCCTCAGCATCTGCCGATTCCCAACCCGGATTAAAAGTACTGTTTTTGATCCGTGGTTGGTTGAATCTGCAAATGTGGGGATACAGAGGGCTGAGTGTGTATTTATTGAAAAAAATTGTTTATAAGTGGACCCATGCAGTTGAAACCTGTATTTAAGAATCAACTGTATGCTGTAATGAAAGTTAGGTGAATGTGGTGTCTTTCTCTCAAAATCTCTTATTGTACTCCACTCAACGTTCCACTTAAGGAAGAACTTCACAGCTTCTCTTTGCCACGTTCAAATTGCCAGCACTGTTCTTGCACTTTGGGGCCATTATTCGGTAAAATACGCGTTACTTGAACTGCAATACGGGGCAGTCGATCTGCTCACCAAGGCAGTTACTAAGTGACTAAATGGTCTGGAGCATCTGCAGTATGGAGTTGCTGGACAAAGGGATGGATTCATGTCTGGGGTGGGATGGACTCATGTCTGGGGTGGGGTGGAGTGGACAGCTCGAGATTTCATTATGCTTTTCAGAATGGTGTGCAGTATAAAACTTATGAATTGTTTATTTCTCAAATTTTTCATTTAATGTTTGCAGACCTCGGGTGACCATGGGTAACCAAAATTTCACAAAGTTAAACCTTGGATAAGGAGGGACTACTGTAGTGATATTTTTACTGTGATGTGTTTCAGTTTCCAAAATGGGAAAAAGGGAAATTGCCTGAAATGAACTTTTTTTTTTTTTTTTTTTTTTTAAATTTGGGGGTTGTTTCTTTGTCTCCCCAT